TGGATCAGAGGATTCCTAACCCAACCTTGGATCAGAGGATTCCTAACTCAACCTGGATCAGAGGACTCCTAACCCAACCTTGAACCATTCCAGGGGCTCTGGGAATCGTGGGAGCAGCCTGTGATCCCACTGAATCAGGGCAGATGGAGAGGGGCTTCCTAATCCCCCCCTCCCCTGCCACCCTCCACGTGGGGCAGGGCTGGGCTGCAACCTGCTGCTCCATCCCAGCAGGGCCCCCTTCCCACCTTCCCTGCCAGCCCTCCCTGTGCCCACGGGCAGGGCTGGACCTGCCCACCCTCACCCTGGGGAGCTGTGGGAGATGGAGCCTGTCTGGAGTGGCTGGAGGCTCCTGAGGCTCCTCTGCCCCCGGGGCAGTTTGGGAGCTCCAGGTCCTTCATGGCTGTGGGTGGGGGGGTGGAGGGTGCAACCCTGATCCAAATGGGAAGCTGCCTGGAATCCCAGCGAGCTGTTCTGGCTCTGGGAGGCATCCTAGGAAGTGAGGTGGGCTTTGGGAACTCACTGAAAGGAGAAACCCCCTGTCTGGGAGTTGGGGCTCCCCCCCTGCAGCTCCCCCGTGCTCGGAGGTTTTTCTGCCTCTCGCTCTCGTGTTTTAGACCAAAGTTTCCTCCCTGTGGAGCTACCTGTGGCTTCTGTTCTCCCTCACTCCCTACTCCCCTTTGGACTGGGCATTCCCACTTCCTGGACATCTCCAGACTGCTCAGGGTTTGCTTCCTTTGCCTTAGGAAGTGCTCAGCCCCTCTTTCCAAGCTGCTCCTCCAGCAGGGTCTGACCTCCTCAGTTCCTCTGTTGCTTTTTCCCCAAGCACATCCAGAGGATCCCTCTGTGCCTGGGTTCATCCTCTTTGTTGGATCCCCCCAGCAGGGGCTGATTTTAAAGCCTAAAAGCACAACCCCATCTGTCTTGTGCCTCAGGGGCACAACAAAGAGCCCTGTCCTGCCTCCTCGGAGCTGGAACCTTGTCCTTGCCCGTCAGCCCTGGTGACAATGGAGGGGTTTAATTCATTTTCCTGAGTGGGCTCCACTGAACTTTCAGATTCCCGCTGTTCCACGTGAAACTCCTTCCTCTTCACCACCAGGTTTGGGGTTTGGAGAGGACATTTCTTGCCACAGGGTCGATCTGTGTGTGATTTGAGGTCGTGCAGGAGGTGCAGCTCCCCCTTGGCGTCCCTTGGCTGGTGGCACTTGGGTGGTAAGGGAAGCTAAATCTGGCACTGCAGGGGTTTTTTCCAGCTTCCAGCACTTCGACTGGAGCCTGGGGAATGGACAGCACGAGGTTGAGCACTGGGATATCCCTCCCTGGTGAACCCAGAGGTAGCTGGGCAAAGGGCTGGGAGGTAAAACCACCTTTCCATGCCCTCCGGAGAGCCGGGATCGCTCTTCCCGCTGCCCGGGACGTCCCTTTGGGAAGGAGCTGGCAGGGATGTGTTTGTCCCTGCAGGCCCCTGTCTCCCAGTGACCTTCTCAGCCCGTGGAGACAGCTTGGCTTTGCTGCAAAGCAGCTCATGTGACGGGGGTAATCCGTAGCCGGTAAACAGCTGGGCGGGAGGATCCCGGGGAATCGCCCTATTTTTCCCTGCTCTGCGGAGCCAGGCCAGAGCAGGAAGGTGGCTCCTGCTCCCTGGGAATGGCTGCTGTCAGTTTGACTGCAGGGATCCACCTGCTGATGGCTTTGGAGCCTCAGAAGCCAGGTCAGGAGCACTGCACGTG